GAACCTTCAGATGAGGGAAACTCCACATCCATCACCAAGAAGCCACCTTCATGAAAGACTGCACCATCACTGTATAGCTCAGCTGCTCTCAAATTCCTCACTCACAGGAACAGTGATGAATGCTCATTATTGTTTTAAGCCACCATAATTTGGGGTAATTCATAAAGCAGTAAGCAACAATACTAATACAGTGAGAATTATGAGGAAGTCATTAAAACAATTTCATACAAACACTAACCTTAACTGAGGCCCTGTAACAGAAAAGTTGATTTATTTTATTTTATAATAGTTTATTTTTACATATTTTTGTGCATTTTTCCAGGTTTAGTAATAGTTGGTCTTTGACTTCCTCTCCAGGTAAAAAGAAAATATATGTTTTGGGATATCTGACTTTATAGAATGTCAGAGCTGGGAGGAACCTCATGTATTATTTAGTCAAAAATTTTTTTGTTTTTGTTTGTTTTATTTCTCTATGGTAAAGACCTATAGCCCCATTCCCCTCAAATGCATACATGTTTAAGACACACAAAGTGCTGCATATGGTTTCAGGACGTTCATGGAGCCTCAAAGCCCATCCAGGATTAAGAAATCTTCTGTTTCCTTTGCTGGTGGGAGATGGAGGCTCAGAGTGTGGAATGGCGTGAAGGGAAACCATGGGTGTGGTTGCCCTCAGGCTGGAGCACAGCACCAGCCACAGTGTCCAGCCTGGGAGTGGCCCCAGCAGGGAGGTGCTAACAAGCAGCAGGTGCTGGGGAGGGCAGGCTGCAGGGGCTGTTGTCAAGCATAAAGGAGACCTAAGGGGGGGGGTAGTGGGCAGTGTTGTAAGTACTTTAACTGAAAGTTAGTTTAAAGAAAAGGATTCAGACTGGCCTCTTTTGTTATAAGGGGCAGCTACTTTTCTCACATAAAAGAACTACTGTCAGATAGGACAGAACAACCTCCTGTGGAAGGGACTTAGAATCACAAGAGCTTGAATTGGATGACAAAACCTGACTTTGAATCTCTAACTCTAAAAAACATACTCAATTTTATATACTACCCAGAAAGACGGTCAAGTCTCGCAGAGGGTGGTGAGCAACTCACAAAAGTTAGTAATAGCTGAAGCCTCAGTGTCAGGGTGTGGGAAGATGGTGTGGTGGAAAGAAGTGTGGCTTAGAGGTAGAAGAAGTAAAATGTGGACAGGTATTATGTGGTATCATGGCTAGTATTCAAGAGAGGCTGGTACAGAGTGGTAGGACAGAAGAATGAAAGCAAAAAGACATTTCAAAAGAGGAATTAATAGGCCCAATGGTGACAGCAGTAGCAGGGCGATGAGAAGAGACAAGTGGTGGGGGTGAGTTGTAGGCTCTGCAGGGGTCTGAATTGATACTGACAAGGGGACATGCGAAAGGAAACATCCAGTGATATTAAGTGCCCTTAGAGCGAGGGGTTAGAGTAACAGGTAGCGAGGGTGTAGAAGTCACCCTCAGGGCTGACATTAGTCTGGAGGTGGTATACTGTAATTAAAAAATGTGGGATGGCCCTTCCTGGTGGCGCAGCAGGTTAAAGCACAGCACTAAGAAGCTTAAACCACTTTCACATGAGTTTGATATCCACCTGCCCCATGGCGTGGCAGACCCCTCCTGACCCGCCCGCTGCTCCCCTCAGCAGTGTACTTCGACAATCTGCCTATTGTGCTCCCCACTCTGTCTCTGGTGAAGCCTCTCACCGCCCCTGCACCTCTGGCCTGGACCCCAGTTCTGTATGTATAAATCTTTTTACAAAAAAAAAAAAAAAAAAAAAAAAAACTTCTATAAAAAAAATATGAGAAAGAAGAGTTAGGGGAGATCTGAGACTAGGGAGTAAAATAAAATCCATGAAAAAGGATGCTTTAGGAAGATGGGTGATAAACATAAATACGGTTTTACATTGGTGTGCATTCAACTGGGTGCTTTGGCAGGTAAATTATAGTAATGTTCATTTTGGCAACAACATAGCCGTTGCAGTATGAGTTATAAAGTGCCTTTATATGGATTACAGATGTTTCTTAGTGTTTTCTAAAGAACATACCTTAGAAAATGACTAAAACTTCTTTTTCCCAATCTCTTGATCAACAAATTAGAAATCACTTTGAGTTAATGAGTTCTTTTCACACCTCACTTTAAGAGGTGTCATCCTAATGTGATAGGTAGGAAAGGGCCAGTGAGGTGACATGATATGGTTGGGTCACCTTCATCAGGAGGTGCAAGGACTAAATTTAGCATGCTGATTTCTGCCCCTTACAGTGAAAATCAAAATCAAAATTAAATACTGACTCAGATCTTAAGAAAAAGTTCTTGAAAAATAAAGTTAAATCTTTTTTTAAATCATTTAAACATCTGTGCTACAATGACTATAGGATATGATGATTAAACAGTGAGAAACTTCTTACTTAAAATAAATCATATCCAGTAAAGAAAGACTGTGACTGAGAAAAAGTAAAGGAGATTATAACTTTTCAACTTTGATAATTTCAAATAATAAAGTAAGGGAAAGGGTGCTCATTTAAAAGTTAAGATATAAGCGGGTCCTCCCTGGTGGCGCAACAGGTTAAAGCGGAGCACTGTGAAGCGATCCAAAGCCATTGCAGCATGCTTTTGATTTCCTGCCAGACCTCTCCTGTCTTGCCCACTGTGCCCTTCAGCAGTGTATTTCAGTCAGTTTGCCTGTTTTTCTCCCCACTTTGTCTCTGGTGAATCCTTTCACCACCCCTGTACCTCTGGTCTGCACCCCAGTTCTTGTGTGCATAAATAAAAAAAAAAAGTTAAGTGGGCCCTCCCTGGTGGCGCAGCGGGTTAAAGCACTGCACTGAGAAGCTAAAGCCACTTCCGCATGAGTTCGATCCCCGCCTGCCCCCGGAGGAGACCACATGGCGTGGCAGACCTCTCCTGACCCGCCCACTGCTCCCCTTAGCAGTGTACTTCGTTGATCTGCCTGTTCTGCTCCCCACTCTGTCTCTGGTGAAGTCTCTCACTGCCCCTGAGTCTCTGGCCTGTACCCCAGTTCTGTATGTACAAATAAATAAATCTTAAAAAAAAAAAAGTTAAGAAATTATAACAAAGAAGATTTATCTTTCACAATAGTGAAATTAATTAGAATGACAACCAAAAGGGGTGGGACTGGGCTAGAGGATTCCCTAAATGCCCTTGTCCTAGGTGGGGGAGAGGTGGGAAAAGGAAGGATACTCATTGTAAACTATTACTGCACTTAAGTATGTCATTATCTAAAAGCCCTTCCTCTGTATAGAGCTTATGACAACTACATTTTTAGTTCCCAGCTCTCCACTGACTAGATGCTATGTCAGTCTAAGCTTGTGGTGCCAGGATACAGCTTCATAGGAGCAACTCATTCAAATAAAAGTGATAGGTGGCTGAGATCACTACTGAGATCACTAACAAGGAAGAAGGGGATTTTCACAGAAGAGGAGAGTGCCTAGAAATCATTTGGTCTAAATTGTTATGTTTTACAGAAGAAGAAACTGAGACCCAGAGACAGAAACGCTGTATTCAGGCTAACACAAGTCAGTATGAGAAGATGGATTTGAACCCAGGTCTTTCTTCTTTTTGTTCTATGACAACCTTTGTATTCTACCATAAAAGAAGTTTAGGACAAAAGAGAACTGAGGGTTCTGTTCTTCAGGAACAAAGTAGAATATGTCTGGGTACACACACACTTTTTTATGGAACACAAAAGGCTGTCATGATGTCTTTATCCGGTCTCACCATATACTTGGGTTGATACGACTTCAAATTCTTAAAACAGATTCTCACACATTAAACTAGAGTTTACAGAAACACCAATAGAAGAAAATACAATATTCTAATTTTGCAACTCAGAATAATTTGCCACATGTATTAGCTGCTTACTACTGTCACTCACATGACAGATTAGAAAAGGAGGCTATAAGAAGGTTAGACTATAAGGAAGCTAGAAAAGAGGTAGGTAGAGGTTTTAGGTTAACACTGGATTCTTGGGAAAAAAGGGAATTTTTCTCTTCCTGAGAAAAGGTAGTACTTCCTAGGATTCCACCTGCTTTGGTAGCTTCAGAGTCAGAAACTGATATATTTCTGTCAACTTTGTCTACTGAAGACTTTACACGGTTAACATTCCAGCTCATAGTCACATTTAACTTCTCAGTAAAATGGCTCTTCCTGCATTTTAAAAGTTATTTTAAATCATTATTCATTACACTTACACTTCCCCCTTGTGGGCAAGATATGGGAGGATTTACAACTAGAAAGTTGTTCTTCAAGAATCTGCCTGTTGTCCACAATTTTATCACTGTAAGTTCTGGTACCTATACCAGCTACTACAATAATCTCCTCCCATTTATGACGTCTAACAAGTGTCAAGGAAAAGGGGAACCAAGGCATAACCTAAAATAATCATTTATGGCACAAAAATCACAAAGTACAATGGGCACACATATTTCTTTGCACCTTTTGTATCATTATCCAAAAATGTATGAAGTCTTTGAAATTAAAAGTTTACTTTTAGGCACACTTTTTTTTATAAGTTCCTGTCAAGAATTTGCTCATATATTAAGAATCCAGTCAATATCACTTGATTGGGTTATTTTCTTTGGTAGAGACTTGTTAGGAAATAATAGCAGAGAGCATGTTATTTATACAAGTTGGTTGCTTTAATCACATCAAAACCAGGTGAAAAGACCAGTGGCCTGGTGGCTTACAATGGGTAGTAGCCCCACCCCCATCTTCTAACAGGATGTGGCAATGGGTTTGTGCCTGGGTGGGAATATCCATAACTAACTTAGACAGCCATCAAGTGGAGACTAAGGTTATGTGCTTTACTGCATCCTCAGTCTTCTGAAGGGAGAGGTGAGCAGCAAAGGGGGAGTGACTCTGGTAGGGATCAAATTGATTTTAATCCTTTCCAGGGTCCTTCCCCTGGCCACTCCCTGACCCCTGGCCCCTGACACTTGGATTCTAGGTCGTGAGAACACAGCCTCTAAGCTCACTTACTTGGCAGCAGCATCTTTTCTCAACTGTTCATGCTTCATGAGGAGGTTTTTCCGGTCTCGGAAAGCTTTTCTGACCTTGTACCCTTTGTAGACGGCTTGGATTTTGAAGGCAGCGATGTCCTGTATAGCTGCAATGGACAGGGCACCACGCTCCAACATGAACTGAATCACTTCATGGCGCTCCCCAAGCAAAGCATAGTCAAGGGGAGTATACCTGAGGCAGGAAGATTTGCTTTTTAAGTTTTGGAATGTAACTCAATGCACAGTTATAATGACAATATTATGCATCAGAAGCAACCCTTATCCTAAAATGTGGCTTATTGTTCAAGTAAAACTATCTACTCTAGAACTATCCTTTTTCCCCTACGGTCACAAAAAAGGGTGATGCTGAAGTCAGTTGCTTTCTGAGCCTACCATGTCAGTTCCTAACCAGCTCAGAAACTGGGACTTTGTTGGAAACAGGGTCATTTTTCTTCTTTCTCATGTACCAAATAGTTCCCTTCACCTGTCTGAAAAAGTACCGCAAATAATATTCCAGGCGACTCAGAAGTTTGAAGCCATGATTGCTGATTGTTAATGCTTATGAAGTAAAAAAACCAAAACCAAAACAAAAAACCTCCAAATATGAGAAGGTTGGCCCTTTAAATCACTGCATGAAGAGTGGGTTATATAATAGTGTTGGGACAACTGGGTAGACCATCTGGAAAAAAAAGATTCTTATATCACTTTTTATACCAAAATGAATTCTGGATGAAGCAAAGATATAAATATAAAAAAGGGACTCATGAAAAAAAAAAAACCACATTGGAGTGGGAAGGTTTTTCCTTAAAAAAAAAAAAAGAAAGGAAAGGACCTCCTTAGTGGTACAGGGGTTAAAATCTCAGTGCTATCAAGTTACCACTGCAGCATTAGTTCCATCCTGGCCAGGGAGCTGATCCACAAGGCACAGCAGACTTCTCCTGTCTTACCCACTGCTCCCCTAATCAGTGTATTTCAGTAAATCTGCCTGTTTTGCTCCCTACTCTGTTGTTGGCAAATCCTCTCACCCCCTGCACCCCTGGCCTACATACCATTCTTGTATGCATAAATAAATAAAAATAAATCTTTAAAAAAAAAAAAGGGTAAAAAAACTCAGGAACCAAACAACTGATAACTCTTAGCTACATGTAAACAAAAAAATTTTGCAGAACAAAAACAAAGATCTTTAAAAAAAAGGGTAAAAAAACTCAGGAACCAAACAACTGATAACTCTTAGCTACATGTAAACAAAAAAAATTACAGAACAAAAACAAAGATAAAGATAGTTCCTATATCAGGAAATACCAATGGCTCCTAAACATAAAGAAATATGTTCAACCTCATTCATTTAAGAAAAATTCAAGTTATAGTATCTAATTATCAGATTAGCAAAAATCAGAAAGTTTAATAAAACATTGTTCTTTTACTGTTCAGTTACATTTATTAAGACAATGTTAATTTACATCACAGTATATACTTTAAGGGTATAGGTTTACACCTCCACAAATGTCAGTTATTTTAGCATACCTACCATCAAAGCCTCAGTAATCTGCCTTTGTACACCCCTCCCCTTCGTTCCCCCCCCCATCACATCCCCCTTTGGTAGCCTCAGTCATAGCCCAGGTGGTGCCCTTTCCCCTTCTGTTTTTATCCCTTCCTCTCTCCCTGACTTCCTTCTTCCCTCCTGTACGCCTCAGAACCATGTTTATCTTTCAAGGTTTGTCTTTGTTTGACCTTTTGTTTGGCTTCTCTATATTCCACATATAAGTGACACCATCTTTATTTATCTTTCTCCTTCTGGTTTATTTCATTTAGCATAATCCCTTCCAGCTTCACCCATGTTGGCATGAATTTATCTTTATTTATCTCTGAGTAGTATTCCATTATACATATATATATATATATATATACATACACACATTATATATATATATACATTATATATATATACACACACACACACCACATCTTCTTGATCTAATCATCTGATTGGGGGCATTTAGGTTTTTCTGTATCTTGGCTACTGTAAACAGTGCTGCAATAAACACAGGAGTGTAGGTTTCCTTTTGAATTAGTGCTTTTGCATTCTTTGGCTAGGAGAGGAATGGCTGAGTCATATAGCAGAGCCATTTTAGTCTTTTGTCGAATGTGCACATTTCTTTCCATAATGGCTGAATCAGTCTACATTTCCACCATCAGTGTAGTGCTTCACAAGTGTGAGGTGATATCTTATTGTTGTTTTGATTTGTATCTCCGGGGTGATAACTGATGAGGAAAATTTTTTCATGTCCCTGTCAGTCATCTATGACAGTGATGTCACTGGGAGGAAACTGATTGTCTCAGAGGCTGGGATAGGAAGCACATTTAGTTTATACGAAATGACCACTTATACCTTGTAAATTTTGTACAGAGTGCATATAGCACCTTTTGATAAACACATTATTTAGAAAAGATAGGTATTTATTGTCATAGGTCGCTACTTGAATTTCAGTTGGCTACTTTCTAGATCTATGATTTTATACAAATTTCTTTTTAAAAATTATACCTTTTCTAATTTTAGAAATATAAAATAAATTGGATAACTATACAGAAGAAAATACTAGTCATCTATATTCCCATCCTCAGAATTTTTTTAATATGCTGGCAAGTGCACTTTCTTTTTTTTTTTTAAAGAAAAATTATTACTTTGTAAGCAGGATGCATATTCTAGGAACAAAATGCCAAAGGTACAAAATTGAAGTAAACTCTCCTCAACACCCCTAACTTTACTGTCAAACAATGGTAATGCTGATGGTCTTAAACGACTTATCAGATTTTTCAAAGTCCCAGCTTTCCTCATCTGGTAAACAGCTTTCCTCTCATAAATGTGATACAAGAAGAAGATGAAATAATAAATGTGAAGAAGAAAGTACTGTGCCTGGAAAAAAGAAGCAGTTTATTGTTCTTATGATAGGCCATGCATTGCAAAACAGTTTATGATAACACAGCTGCTTATCATTAAGTACTATTCCCACAGAACCAACACTAGTGTTTATGACCTTCTAGAGACTACCACAAATCCAGGTCCTCTCCAAAGACTATTATTAATACAATACAATCAGAGATGTGAGGAAAAACATTCAGCTGATGTAAGAGTAGAAAAATGATTATATGGATATAAAAAATCACCTAATGATTATAGAAAAACGGTTGGTCTCTCTTCAATACTCACCTAACAGGTGAGAAAGGAAGAAGTTTCCAGTATAAACAAAGGGTGGTCCGGTCACTTTGGTAATATCCAAATGTTAAATTAAGGAAACCCTATTATAATAGCTAAATTTGTTAGTCCTGTTCAGGGACTACAAAGCCATAAATGGAAGTGCCTACATAAACTTGATAAAATTGTTTATAAAGATAATACTTTATATACTCATCACCTAAATTTAATAATTAACAAGATTTTTGCTACATGCTTCAACTAGAGACTTCATTTATTATTTTTGCTAAAGTATTTTAAAGTAAATATCAGGAGTCCTATCATTTTAATCTCTCTGTATTGAGTACTCCTCTATGAATAATATGAACACATCCATGATGTCATTGCAGTATTAACATAAGAGAAATTCCTTAGTATCTAATACCTATACCATATTCCAATTACCCCAATTTTCTCAAAAATGCTTTTTTTGTAATTGGTTTATTCAAATTAGGACTATCAGTTTTAGAGTCAAGGAGACACAATACAAATATCTAGCAAGATTTGAAAACTGAAGTCACTATCTAATGTTTAAGCACCTGACCATATTGTGATTACTACTAGTGTATCTTTCTTCACCCCAAATTCAATTTAGAAACATTCAGGTACTGTGAATATTCCCACTGATGTCAGAGTGTAGCTGTCAGATAGTTATTGACTGAAAGCCAGCAGTAGCTGGCAAAAAATGATGTCTATGCATTGCACATCAAGTGGTTAGTGTCAGCGCATGAGAAGCAAAAATTAGCACCACACTGATGGTAACCAGTCAAGAAATAATGTAGATAAAGACAAGAGGCAAAATACAATTGGGCTTGCCATGTGGGAATGGTCTGTTGGGATGAGCAGAATGCCTAAACTAGAATGTCAATAAACATAAAAGGCAATGCCAAGTTCTGACATTTGTACATCAAGGTGTACTGCTGATGAAACATTAAAGGAGATTGGGATATTGCCACTCTCTCTTTTTATCTATATATTGGCAAGTACAGTTAGAAGGATTTTTCCTTTGGTCTTTTGGTCTGTAATTAACATATGTTTACTCCAGGAGGCAGTAAGCACCTTAATTTATGCACTTAATTTGGGTATGAAATTCAAAGCTCAGCATATAAATGGGAATTGAATGACAAAGGAAAATTGTTTCTTTTAAAAATAGCAGTAAACATTGTTAATATCATGGAATAAACTCTTAACAGAAATAAGACATCACTAATTCCTAAGATTCTTAACATTTTCTTTTTATTTTTTAAGGTTTCAAAGGGAGAAATCTCCAGCTCTCTCATTTACTGCTTTAATGTCAAAACCTGAGTCTTGAGGATTCCCCTTGGCTTTCCAGCTTTCTTAAATATCCAAACTCTTAAATCTTCAAGTCTTTTTTTGTCTTGCAGTTGTCATCTGACTATAATAGAGTGAGTTCTTTATATAATCATGCCCCAACTAAAACATACTTTTCTAATTTATCTAATTTTGCATTTGCTATAAGAATTCCAGAAGCTTTTGATGCAGCAGTGTGTGATGTATTGATAGCCTGAACACACCAACATGACAATACAGAAGCTATTTAATGAGCATCTACTTATGGAAAACATTGTGAACATCACAGCAGTGACGGTGATGTTCTCTGCTAACAGGGAAGACAGATTACATAAAATTATAAGGTGAACAGTGAACTGCTACAGTATATAAAAATAGAGTTTGGATAACACAGTTTAGGGGAAAACATAGCTTGGTACACATAACTATGACATCAGAACATCTTAGAGGAGACTGCATTTGAACAGAGAATGGCATGATTATGTATGATTTAAAACTATGATTTCGAGAACTACTTTGGTACAGATAAATTCAATGAGGGAAATATCAAAGATAAGAAAATAGTTAAAGGCACTGTGACAATCCCAGAAAAACTGGAGTAGAGGGTTATCTGCTGGTAATAAACAAAAGTTAGCACTTTGAACCAAGGAGAGAAATAAGATTTGGAGTAAGATTTGGAGTTTGGTAGCATCTGGTGACTGCTCAAGCCTTGTTCATGGGTAAGAGTGTCAGAGATAGGTAGGAGAGGAGATACAGGTCTTGAAGAATGTTTATATTCAAAACATAAAAATGGAAAGGGGCCAAAAAAAGGAGATGAAACTGGTATGATTAGAAAAGAATCAGGAAAGTACACTGACAGAAGCTTAGAGGAAAATGTCTCAGTAAGGTAGGCCAAAGAGAGTGGCCAGAAAGGGCAGCATGATTTCTCAATCTGGGCTTTGTCAGTGACCATCCAAATATACAATTCAATATAAATGGAAGAATGGAAGCCAGAATGCAAAGACATGAATAATGGGCATGAAAAAATGGAGGCAGTGAAGACAGTTTGAAAGAGGGAAGATTTTTTTTAAGCAATTATAGTTTTTATAGTTATTGTCACAAATAACAACTTGCAGTGATCAAAGGAAAAAATGATCATTCATTGGCTGGTCTTTACTGATTTTTAAGTTCTTTTATGATTACATAGGTTTCATTCATGAAATTTTAAATTTAAGATGATGTAGAATATTTATAGATATTTGTAGATTTTCAGTTTTGTATTTAGAAATATAGTTAATTTTGACATACTTTTAATTCAACATTGAAACAGAAAAGTTCCCAGGTATTGTAACAGAAAAGTTCACTTAAAAAGAAATGAAGGTGAATTCACAATAAGATTCTTTCCTTTTTTATAGCCTAGTGAAGAAAAATTAAGTGGGCTACATGAGTCCAATTGTGTAATAAGGCAGAATAAATCTTAGGGAATAAAATTTAAATGCATTTGGATCCAACATGGTTCAGTTTCAATACAGAGTAAATCGATAAGAAAAAAGAAAAAATATACATATATAAAGACCTAGGTCTTGATATCACTAATTTTGCTTTGATAATAACCATTTAAATCAAATAACAATGTCATATAAATGTTAACTAGAGCTCCCCAACTTCTAAAAAAAACATATTCTAAACAAAAATAGAAAGTGTTTTTGTTTTCTAAATGAATACTGGGTGACTCTTAGAGAATAAAATTCCTCTATCCTTGTGTGTATACAGAGATATATGTATATGTATGCACCTATATGTTCATAGACACATATTTGTTCAGATATAGTAAATGGTTGCATGTTGAATATTTTATTCAAATATTATTTATATTTACAGCCACATATATGAATGATTTATTTTTATGAGAGGATAAGTGGAGCACAGTCACACTCATTACTTCCATTTCATACTTTCTTGGTAGATTTACAATGTCAGGTTTTTTTTTTGCTTTGAAATATTTTTTAAAATTTTATAATAGTTTATTTTTACATAATTTTGTACATTTTTTCCCATATAATAGTTTATTTTTACATATTTTTGTGCATTTTCCAATCTCAATTGCAATCCTCATGGGTTTCCCATCATCAAATCACCCATGTGCCATCACCATAGTCTAGTGCATTTAAAAGAGGGAAGATTTTATAAGGAAAGACTAACTTCAGAAGAAGAATTTTAAAATAATAGATGGAGGATGGAATTTTAAAATAATAGATGGAGGATAGATGAAGAAAGTTTCTAAAAGTAGAGGGAAAGATCAAAGGGTTAATCCCAGAAAGGAGGAACATGTTTCTTCTAATACCACTGACCTAGAAAATTTTTCTACAAGTTTTCCTTTTTCCTGATGGATAGAAAAAAACTGGTGATGGTTAAGAAGATAAGAATGATGTAACAGCAGGAACCATTTTAGTAACAGCATCCATAGAAAATGAAAATTAAAGTATAGACCTGGAGTGAGGGGCAGGGGGAATTCAAGTATGGAAGTCTAGTCCCAAATTTAGTTGTTACCTACAAATGGCTAGCAACTTTCTGCAATCCAAACCACTAAGAATATCTCCTACTTAGACTTCACACAATGTCTGGCCTTTCTATTGGGATTAGATCTTTGCCTATCAACACCAGTCTGTAGATGTCATGTTATTCAACAAATCTGTATTTACACTGAAAATTCATGTTAGTTTACCCTTGTTTTTTCATACTACATGGCAATACCTCCCTCTAACTTCCAATCCTCTTCCTCAGGAGAAACTTTTTGAATATATAATACCTTCCATAGGTATAACTAAGATATATAACTAAGAGCAAAATAACCTCATCCTGGTTATTCAGGAGTCTCCTGACTACTGTTATCCACAAATCAGAAGTTGTTACCAGATTCCTCATTTGTGAGCTTCGTTTAGGTAGTAGTAAAAGTTTTGAGTAGGGCAAAGCCTCCCTCGTGGTGCAAGAGGTTAAGTCTCAGCACTAGGAAGCTATGGGCAGCCATTACAGCATGAGTTTGATTCCTGGCCAGAAAACTGACCCACAGATAATGCAGCAGATACCCCTTTCTCACCCATGGCTCCCTTCTGCAGTGTATTTCAGTAGACCTGCCTGTTCTGTTACCCACTCTGTCTCTGGGAATCCTCTTACCACACCCCCTCTCCAGCCCCATCCCAGCCTACATCCCTACTCTTGTATGCATAAATAAATCTTTTTAAAAATATAAGTTGTGAGTAGCTATAATATTCTATAATTTTAAATCAAGATTACATGGAAATGGAACTTTTGCTATTTTCTTCTGGTTCAGGATTTCTTAGTGATGTGTTTTTTTATGACTAGTTATTTCTGAGCCAATATCTTAATTTGAGCTTTTTAAATCTTCCAGAAAGGATGTGAGATGAATAATAGTATAATCCTTTTACCAATAACTCACCTCTCTTCATTGTTTTCCATCTGATTAGGGAAAGCAGCAAAGTCTAGTAGTAATTTAATGGCATCAAGGTATCCATTGTTACAGGACCAGTGCAAAGCTGTTCTACCCTACAAGCAAGAAAAAAAAAATCAAGTGCATCTGGGGTATATATTTTTGGGCACATATATTAAGGATAACTCAAAAAATATAAACAATGCTGCCTTCAAATCACTTACCTACAAAAAGAGAAAACATTAAGTATACAGTGGAGAAAATGGACAGTAAGTATGAGGTATTGTCTCCAGAGATTATACCCCCAAGAAGGATAATATTTTATATAATATTCCAACCCAAAATATAAAACAAATTATGAGGAATTATAAGGCAAACCCAAAGGCAAGTTCTTTAAAATAATCTCTATTCTTGAAAAAGGAACTCTCCTGCATTGCTGGTGGGAATGCAAACTAGTACAACCACTATGGAAAACTGTTTGGAGGTTCCTCAAACTGCTAAACATGGAGCTTCCCTATGACCCAGCAATCCCACTCCTAGGTATCTACCCAAAAGAAACAAAAGCACTGATTGAAAAAGATACTTGTACCCCCATGTTTATTGCTGCTTTATTTACAATTGGAAAAACATGGAAGCAGCCCAGATGCCCAAAAGTAGATGACTGGATTAGAAAGATGTGGTACATATATACAATGGAATATTACTCAGCAACCAAAAAAGAGAAACACATGTCTTTTGCAGCAACTTGGATGGAGCTGGAAAAGATCATGCTTAGTGAGATAAGCCAGAAAGAGAAAGAAAAATACCGGATGGTTTCACTCATAGCAGGAGTATAATGGACCAGGCGAGAAAATAAATAAAAATAATGAACAACCATGGACCAGAGACATTCTGTGGGGGTGGAGTGGGGAATGGGACCAAAAACCGGGGGGGGGAGGGAGGGAAATGCACGGGACTATGGTGGTGGCACAGGGGTGATTTGGTGATGGGAAACCCGTGGGGATTACAATTGAGATGAAAAAAAAATGTGCAAAATGATGTAAAAATAAACTTTTTAATAAAAAAAAATAATCTCTATTCTTTTATTATTATTAAGATTTATTTATTTATGCATATAGAACTGGGGTATAGGCCAGAGTTGCAGGGGTGGTGAGAGAACTCACCAGAGGCAGGGTTGGGGGCAGAACAGGTGGATCTATTAAACTACACTGTTAAAGACAGCAGCCAGAGAGACAGGAGAGGTCTGCTGCACCATGAGGATTAGCTCCTTGGCAGGGATGAAACTCAGGCCCTAGTGGTAACGACAGTGTTGAGAATAACTCCTAGGCCATCAGGGAGGCTCATAGTAAAAGCAGTTTTTAATAAACCTGTGGGATAGTTCCTTTATTTTGGCAAACTGTTTTTGTTTAATTATACAACAAAGAACAATAATCACTTTGGAGCAAACAATATAGAAAGAGCAGGATTCTTACCTCTTTGTCTTGGATGTTAGGGTCTGCATTGTTTTCCATGAGTACTGCCATACAATTGATGTAACCCCCGTAGGCAGCGCACTGCAAAGGGGTTCTTCCTGCATAATCCTGCACATTCGGATTGATCTTATTTTCTATCAGTATCTGGCAAACATCTGCATTTCCTCCCAGAGCTGCCCAGTGTAGAAGAGAATGCCCATCTTGGTCAACTAGATCTACTCTTGCTCCTCCTAGAAAAGAAAAATTATAATTGAAATGTCTTGTAAGAGAGAATTTATCAAAAAGAACAGACATGAACAAAATATTATGAAAGAATAAAAACAAAAAATAATGAGTGTCTCTTAAGCGCTTTATTACTAGCAAAATGCTTCTATATTAAATTAGTTGCTTCAGGTTTTTGCAATAAGCCTGTAACTTTGTCAGGAGTGGGCTTTGAGCTTCCCAACAGCAAGAAAACATCCTCACCCTTCTGTCCAGGTGTCTTTTGGCTATGTAAAGCTGTATTTTGAACAGTAAATGAGAATTCCAACCTTTTTAGAGTGACTTATAAAGAGATCCTTAATAACTAACCTTTAATAAGTGTCTGAATCACATCCTTGTGTCCCATCTCACAAGCTCGAAACAGTGGTGTGTGTTTCATGACATCAGTAGCATCTACTTGCGCATTATTTTCCAGTAATAACTTCACGGTACTGACATGGCCAGAAAGGGCAGCAGCATGTAAAGCTAAAAAGAAAATAAGTTAAAGCAAAGTCTCTTTCATAACAACTTTCCCTTTTTACTATTCTAACTATGTATCTTCTTTTTCATTCGCCCTTCATTTGGCTAAATACACTTGAATCTTTAAGATGCTCTATTTTGTTCACTTTTATAAACTTCTAGCTTCCTTTCTACTATTCATATGTATTATTCACACTTTCTCTTCTACCTTTGCATCTCATGTTTCCTTCCTTTCCATGCTGTTGGTCTGAAATGGGTCTCTTAGTCACTAGTTTGTTATCTTTTCCTCTTTCTAAGAGACCAAGAGAACAAAATATGACAAAGAGAAGTGATTCAAAGGACGGTGGCAATTCTGCACCAACCCACTCAATAAGCATCTGCTCCTAAGGTACCATGTGATGAGCGGCATCAATGCAATGTTTCTTTCTCTGGCTACCTGGGCTCTTCCTACAGGGGCGAGTGTATGCAGGTGGTAGCGAAAGTGCACACATTTCACTGAACTGGGGGCATATTTCATCATCATGACTCCAAAAGCAGGCCAGATATTTCCTCAGGGCTCAATTTAAGAAACAGCAATTCATTTCAACATTGGAGAAAAAGCTGAGATTTAGTGTGGTTTCCTCTCGGGTGCCTTCCTTTGAGGTTTTAAAGAGTAATTTTGACTATAAGTGCGTTTCATGTTATGTTGACCCTTATGGTCTATGTTACTCCACTCCAGGGCTTGACTTAGGCCACCAGTCTTTAAGCTTGAATTTGTCAAGATAATAGCCGAAATACCTGGATTAGTTTTTTCAGAGTATTATGGCTCTATCTTAAACTAGTGTTTCTTTCATAGTGACTTATGAAGCCACACTTGGAATACCTATGAGCATGCAGATTCCTAGGGATTTGTGGAGAATCTACAATGGGCTACACACAAATGTAATGCTGGGAATTCAGCAGAAACAAAATGGATAAAGGAATATCCTCAAAGGGAATGCCAAATTAATACATAAATAAACAAAATACCCCAACTAATAAATAAGAAAGTATTAGCAATAAAAGGTATTTTGATATTTAAAGGGACTAGGGGACTATTTTTGTTTGGTACTTGGGAAAAGCTCTTAGGAGCTGACATTTAAGATGAGATCTGAATCATTAGGTCTCTACATTGCTATAGAGATCTCAAGAATAATTTAGGCAAAAAAGAGCAGTTAGTATGAGGACAGTAATGAATTCATGTTTAAGGAAAGCCAGGAAACTATAATATAATAAGTAAATGAAGTACATCAAACAAGTAGAAAAGTCCAAACGTAAATGTCCCACAGGCCAGGGTGATGAAGGACACTGTGGGACTATACCTATGGGAGAGTGACATGTGGCTTATGTTTTAAGCAGATTGCTTTAGTTGTTCTGAGGAGAAATCACTGTGGTAGATTAGCATATAAGCAAGGATACTATTAATATTAGTGCAACAGACTGAGTAAAAAAGGATGGTGCCTTGAGCCAGGGTAACAGGAGTAGACAAGAAGAGAAGCAGAAAGATTTAGAATGTACTTTGGAGATGAACTCAACAGGACTTGCTGACAGGATCTGAAATAGGATCTCTGTCAGAGTGGAAACTGCATTTAAAACAACACCTTAATTCTGATGAGTTCTTAAGTTTGAGAAACCTGACTTAAATGACTGAGTTTCATTTGGCCCAGACAGGATCCACATGGGTGTGAGAAACTTCAGATCTGAAGTGCTCTCATGTGGAAGACAGCACAGAGTAGAACATTCAGTTTGACAAATTATGACTCCGTATAAGGATGAACATTCTAAGAGGCAAATTCTGACGGAAGTAGCAGGTTCCCAGAATTAGGGTGGGTGTTCTGGGTTCAACCAGAGGCTGAAGAGCACCACTGAGAATGCGATGATATATTTGTGAAAGTTCAGTAATTGTCACATCTTGAGAGCATAAGAAAGCTTTTTTTCCCCATTCCAAATGAAATTTTGGAAATTCAACAGATAAAACAGGGAAGAATGGAATGGCTATGGCTAAAGTAGGGGTGCAGGGTTCCTGCCCCCTCAGCAACTCTTCAGGCACCTCTATAGAAGCTTGCTGTTTTGAAGAACATGGTTTGGAAAGTCCTGGAATAGATTTCATTTTAAGGTATTTTCTAACTCTGAAATTCCACAATTCTGTGGCATTGATATGCACTAAATACTCTTTAGATTCATATCCATGTCAAGTTAAAAACAGGCAAAATTACATTTAAATAAAAGAATTAATAATCTCATTCAAGGAAGTAGTCCATTTCTGATGGTTTGCATTTATTTTATTTTTAAAGCCACCTAAACTTAATTATTGTTGCCCCTTCTTTGATAAAGTACCACAAGTCTACATAGGAGTATTACTGTTTAAAAAAAATTTCCTTTATGTATGGGACATTTCACTACTTCCAAAGGTAAAGATAATGAACTCAATATATTGCCACAACCTAACTTTAACAAATATCAATATACAGCGAATCTTGTTTCATCTGACTGCCATCCATTTCAGTCACTTTTGCTTGTTTTGAAGAAAATTCTAGAGCCATATAATTTCACTATTATATATTTTAGGAAATATGTCTGAAAAACAAAGATTCCCTTTTTTCCTTTCTGCCCAAAACCACTGTGTTGGTTGTCAGTCTGGGTTCAGTCAAGAGACAGAAATCATAGCAAATACTTTAGAAGAGATATTTCAGTATGTATGGAAAAGCAAAAAAGGGAATGCTAAGATATAGTGTCCTTTATCTTAGTACACAAAGTGTGCTAAGTAAGAGGTAGTAAATGCAGGAAGCAGTTGGAAAGTCTAGAACTGAGGGAACTAAAAGAAGAGAGTGGAATTTTTAAGACTTAAAAGCTTAGAAGAGGAACCCTCTCTGAGGTTGGTACTGTGAATGCTGGAATGACTAAAAAGTGAAATTAACTGCTACCACTAGAAAAAACTACCATTGCCGCGCTGAAGAAGATTTGCTAGGGTGATGCTAACAGGACAGCAAACAAAAACAAGAAAAGTAAACAAATAGGAAGAAGTAGTCTCTTGCTCCTCTTCCACCTCTCCAGTCTTCCTCTCCTGTCCCAAATGGGCTGATTATAATAGGGCACCTAATGGCAAAGAGGAAATGTGATTTGTAGAATTCCAGTCTTGGCACTGCAAAAAGATTATCATATCTAAATAATATTAATATTATCTAAATAATAAATATCTAAATAATAAAAATTCTGTAACATAAAACACCCAGATGGTGTTTATGTTTGCCTGATGGCTTTATAATTTTTTATAGTTTATTTGAAATCAAGATTCAAATAGTGCACATATATTGCTGCTGATAAAAAAATCTTTTAATAGGAAGGGGAAAAAGTCCCGGTAGGGGGATGATGGAGAGGAACTCACTTTCATAAAAGAGAAATGTCAGGAAGGAATCTCTGACATACAATAAAATCCCTTAGGAGAAAGAGCTCAGGGAAGCAATGAATCTCAAAAGAATTTGTGTCTGAACTCCAACCATGGTGCACATAAGAAAGACGCTGAATGTCAAATGAATCTTCAAGCATCTTGTGCATACGTTATTAAAATACATAACAAAATTAAGCTAAATGCAAAGCTAGTGATAAAGTAAAAGACTGCATACTAATTGAAGTCTGGCAAAAAATAAAATGTTCAGACTGTTTATAACTCAATGTTCTATGTGTCTGCACTATACCCCTTGAGAAGTTTAAGGTCTACTATAAAGTTTAGGGAAAGCAATGCTTTTGAAAGCCTTTATCAAAATTGATACTACTTAAAAACTCCTTAAAAAATCATTTGGGGGCCCTCCCTGGTGGCGCAGCGGGTTAAAGCACAGCACTGAGAATCTGGAGCCGCTTCCTCATGAGTTCGATACCCGCCTGTCCAGGAGGTGACCACATGGCGCGGCAGACCTCTCCTGACCCGCCCGCTGCTCCCCTCAGCAGTGTACTTCATCGATCTGCCTGTTCTGCTCCCCACTCTGTCTCTGGTGAAGCCTCTCGCCGCCCCTGAGCCTCTGGCCTGTACCCCAGTTCTGTATGCACAAATAAATAAATCTTTAAAAAAAAATAATTTGGGGCTCTGCGGGTTAAAGCACAGCACTGAGAAGCTTAAGCCACTTCCGCATGAGTTCAATCCCTGCCTGCCCTGGAGGAGATCCACATGGCATGGCAGACCTCTCCTGACCCGCCCGCTGCTCCCCTCAGCAGTGTACTTCCTCGATCCGCCTGTTCTGCTCCCCTCTCTGTCTCTGGTGAATCCTCTCACCCTCCGCATCTTTGGCCTGTACCCCAATTCTGTATGAATAAATAAATCTTTAAAAAAAAAATCATTTGGACCAGGTATGGGAGGAAGATTAGGTTACAAAAGTGCTGCTCTCTAGTCTACCCCCCTGGTATTGCTCCCCTATCCTCTGTGGCATCAATAGTTTTGGTGGCCAAGAAAGATTTTACCCAGGATAGTAGGTAGGTGCAAACAGCTCTAGCATGCTTCTACAAATAAGAACACATAATATATAGAAGCTCATAGCCGAGTTTTTACTCTATCCACTGTTAACTGTGCTGTTCTCTGCCTTTTCTTTCTTTTTCTGACTTGCAATTAGGATATAGTATACAGAAAGAGATCTCCAAGTTGATAATGAATGCTAAAAATGTGTACCTCTCTTATTAATCAGTATATAGTTAAAGAACTGTTAACTAGAGAAAGAGATTAAAGGAAGCACCCAGTAAGACATTTTGAGGTAACCTGACTTGAACCTTTGAAGTTTCTAGAAGCATGGGAGCTTATCACACAAATGAAAGATTCAGAATGAGGTAATGTTACTCAGATCTGAGAAAAGAGCTATTGAATGAGACCAGTGAGGACATACTTATATGTGCACATCCTTAAAATAGAATTCAATTTTTTTAAACTTAATTATAACTATGCATAGTTTTAAAGTGGCACCTTATGCTTTTCACACAAAGATAAATGATGAGTTTCCATACTTATGTCTAGGAGCAACCAGAATTTTAAACTAAATGCCACCATTCATTTGGTAAAAAGTCAGGCTAATTTTAGCCATAATTATTAAAAGCAATAATGTGTTTGTAATGATATTCTGGCAACTAAATTTAAAAACTGAAGATTAAAGTCAAATAATATTAGATTAGGGATAATGGTTTCTAGTTACTATTTTACAAGTTTTGCAGCACTATCCACACTTTAGAGCTTGAATGAAAAAAAGCTGAATATGTGTACCAATTCTTACCTGTACCTCCATATTTGTCTGCCATGTTAATATCAATGTCAGTTTTCAAACTCAGCATAGTCTTAAGGACATCATCACTGCCTTTTCCAGCAGCCCACATAAAGGATGTTCTTCCTTCCAGGTCTGAATCATCTTTTACTGAAGGGTGTTTTAAAAACACTTTCACTGTTTCCTGCCTCCCCCCAAAAAACAAAAACAAAGAACACCAAACCCTTCATTTAAACATTTGAGACAACAAGGCAGCATATTTTTACAGTAACATAGCTAGTGTTATATGTGGTAAGAGGTAAGGAACTTTTCTCCAACTTTTGAATCAAATGAAATGATCTTTTACTGAATAATGAAACTGTACTTTCCACTGGGAGTAACTGTTATTACTATTTCCTTACTATTAATTTAATTTCTAAAGTACTTCAGAAACATAACCTAACCCCCTAATTCAACGTCCTTATATTTGAGAATGATCATCCTCAATTAAGACTGAAAACTTTACAGGACCGTTAGAAGGTTGAACAGACAGTTAAAAGACTCAGAAGTATTAGTGTCATGCTCAATATTAAAATGTAGATTTTCTTGGACATGATAGAGCCAGAGACCTATGTATTCAGACATGCTTACAGATATTCAATATCTTTATAAATATCAACATTCACATTTTTATTTATTAATGCATGATACACATAATTATTTAATATTAAAAATACATTCCATTTCTTGAGTATCTACTCTATGCCAAGGACTATACTAGACACTTGTCATAAATTTTTTCTAATCCACACAACAGTCTCAAAAGAAGAGGCATAATTATCTTCATTTGAGTGAAACTAAGACCCAGGAAGATTACAAAACCTGTGCAAGGTTACATAGTTAGCAAACAACACAGTCAATATTCTAGTCAAGGTGTGCCTGGCTTCACAGTCTTGTCACCTTGCCTTCAGCACAATTACAGATTGCTGAGCACCAAGGTAGCTTAGTGCTAGAAAAGTAACAAAAAGATGAAGTAGATGTATGGTAAAACAAACTATTACCCTGAATATTAAAATAAAAGCTTTGTGTGTGTGTGCGTGTGTGTGTGTGTGTGCGCGTGCGCACATGAGTGATCATTAGTGATTAACAGTTTTACAGAAACTCAAGAATATCACTTGAATCATACAATATGAACAATGAATACAGGTAAAACTGGTGAAACCTGAATAAGGTCGGTAAATTCTATCAATGTCAATTTCCTGTTTATGGTGCTATATTATACTTTTGTAAGATCTCATGGTAAATTGAGTAAAGCATGGGATCTTATTGGTTTATTTCTTAGAACTGCATATGAACTTATGATTATATCAAATAAAAAATTAAACTAAAAAAAGGTAATTGCGGAGCTTCACTTACGGCAAAGTTACTCTGAGCTGCGTAGTGTAAGGGTGTTGCTCCTTGGCTGTCAGATGGGATGGTTCCAGACTTATTTCTTTCTAAAAGGAGATGGACAATCTGTGCATGGCCTGAACACAGACACAGCAAGGTAGTTATGACATACAAAAGATATTAAGTAAGTTATAGTCTATTTACAGAAAAGGATAGAGAAAAATCTTATTTTTACTAGCACATAACATTCAAAATGTTTTCTGAAACGCAGCCCCCCGGGACATCCTCTTCTCATTAAAATATTATGATAATGTAAAATAAAGGAAAAAATTTGTAACACCAAAATATAATGCTTCAATCAGGAAGGAAATAACATTAATTATAATTGTTATTTGAGAATAAAGTATACTAGGTATCAGGTCATTGCATTTCTTGGCTTTACTTTATAAAACTAACTGTAAAAAAGATGCAAAGGTTCATTAGAATCCAGTCTGTCAATCATCAGTGGACCTAGTTTCGATGTTCTATTGTATAACAATGCTCCCAATCAGTACTACCATGATTCTATTTTACTATTTGAGAGGATAAACTATGATACAATCTCTGACAGTCTTGTCATCTTCTATTCATCCCTTCAAACTTCTTCTTCTCCCTGACCCTAAGTCTTTTAATACACAGGTGTGACTTTAAATCGCAGAAAATAAGTGGGCAAAAATGAAGAGGTGGTAGTAGGAAGAATACTCCAGTGCATTCTGGAGGATGTTATCTACAGAAGTGAAGAACCACAGAGAAGGTAAAAAAAAAAATCTGTAAAGCTAATAACAGTATAGTTAGGAAACCCAAATTTCATTTTTTAATTCTACTACCTACCACACTGGGGAACTAGGCAGTGATGAAGATGCCATATTAGCACAGCAAGGATATACTGCATGAAAACCAGGCAGAATAAAGGAATCTCAGGAGGAATTGCTCTCATAGTACAAGTGAATGAAAGGAAAATCAAAGACAACTTATGCCACATAGACACTCTGAGCATGTCTCACCTTGTTGGACAGGTACAGAATAATTCAATAAAGGCTACATGAAAACATCACATAGGACAGGGAAAAAAGGAACACCATCAGAAAGATGACGCTCATACCTTGGAAAATGATCTAGAGAAAGATCCAGAAGAAAATTTCAGGAAACAGTTTGGTATCCTCAACTTAGTGCAAAGACATGGCCTCTATGAAATGAAAGAGAATCTCCTAAGAAGAAAACAGACTGAAATAGAGGTAATAGAAGGTGAACAGGAAATAAGCCAAGATAAAAAAGAAATATGGATGAGAGACAGAAGTCAAAACACAATCTAAAATGCCATCTGTAAGAGGCAGAAGGAAAGCAGAACTCATGGAACAAAAAGTCATTTTAGTGATATGGAGACAAATTTGCAAATTCTCATAATGCCAAGGAAAAGGAAAAAGGGATATACATTGAACTTAAATCTAAGCAATAATTATAAATCTAACTATAAAACTCAACACAGATATAAAAATCATTTTCAAAAGAAAATGTGCAATTTAAAAACTAAATACAAAATAAGAATTGGGAAAAACCTCAGCTTAAAGAAACCAATGCTAAAAGAATGGTAATTTAAAATGCGCTAAATTTCTAGTATTAAAGAGGTTTGAATTAATAGATAAAGTCTTCCTCTTGACTCTTGATAAGTATAAAAGTAAAACTAATAGAACTTAAAAAAAAACAAAACAACAGTAGACTATATGTACCAAAAAACCAAAAAACCCAAACAACAGTAGACCTTATATGTACACCAAATGCAGAAAACAAAGGAAATGGGGAAAAATAAAAAAGTAATAATATTCAAAAAAAAGAAAAGAAGGGTGAGTTATATATTTTATAATAATGACTATCAATGGGTAAAACTTCTTCACTATAAGAGACTCTCACCTTACTCCCCCAGGTCAGGGATAAAAAACTGCTATGTAGAAGGTTAAATAAAAGGTACATTAGGAAAATATGGAGGAAAAAAATCAAATATTATGGTATTGGCACAAAAATAAAGTTGCCCTCTGAAAAAGAAGATTAAATATAAAAAGAGGATAATTTTATATTTATATTTGTCAATGAATACACATTAGTTTTCTAATAAAAAGTTAAGCCATGGCTTGAAATTAAAACTAATTTATAATGGAGAATACATTAATATTATGAAAAATTAAGCAACAATAGAGGATGCTGGGTATAAATGCTTCATATCAATTAAAAATAAACAGGGGTGGGAGCTGACAGGGAAAGAGAAGGCATGGGAAGTTTTCCACACTTAAGCATTCCCTCTTATTGACCAACCTTTGATTCTCATCAACTCACCTAGTAAAGCTGCCCAATGAAGTGGGGTTCGAAATAAGTTATCATAAGATGTTATATTGCAGCTTTCATAGGAGGTCAAGACATCGACCACTGTCACATTCCCATCAGCCACGGCAAAATGAAGAGGGGTTCGACCCTCATAGTCTTGCCAATTCAATAAAGATTCCGTTGGAGCAGCATCCTGTTTTTAAGGAACCAGACACTTCAGACACTTGGAATTTTTAATAAATCACATTTGACATAAGTATTAACAATTTTCTAAGTCTCTATGTTCTCTCTCATCACAAGAAAATGGTAAGATTTATGGGGGATGGGGAGGGAAGTCCACGGGATTATGGTGATGGCACACAGGTGACTTGGTGATGGGAAACCTGCGGGAATTACAATTGAGATGGAAAAAACAATGTACAAAATGATGTAAAAATAAACAGTTATAAAATTAAAAAAATAAATTTAAAAAAAGATATAAAAAAAAGCACTGAAACAGACTTCTATAGGGAGGTGACAGTTGAGTAAACCTGGCAGACTGGGATGGAGCCTGCATTGTGGAGCAGAGCAGAGAGTGAGGCTTGTGTGGGTCACATGCGCAGAGTATAAAGAGATCACATGGCATCAAAGTGCTTAGGAGGCTTGCAACTTGAGTAATCAAACAGTAGCCACATTTTAAGAAAATTTAAATGACAGCACATAAGAGAATCCGATTTTTGGAACCCACCAAGATGGATATAAGGAAAAAAAAATTATAAGATTCAGAAAAAAATGTAGTCAAAATCTTTAAAAGCAGGTATTTTGGTATGTCTTTTTTATATTTTACACTGATTTTTTTTATCTTTATATCTTACACTTACTATTACTTATATTCTTTATATCCTTACACTTACCAAAAAACAAGCATAAAACAAAGTTAGAGAATGACTATAAATTCAGGAACATAGTTTGGGGGCCAGGAATAAGCATGGCTTGTGGAGAGAAAGCATTTGGAAACTGGTACTTGGGAAACTTCTGCATGGTATTATATAGTATTATAATGCATTTCTTGGGTGATGGGTTCACCCGTTATATTCTTTTGCTGTGTGTATGTGATATATGCTTATGCGTATATTGGATATTTCATAATAAAGGCTTTTTTGGAATGGTCATCAGGATGTAGCAGCGCCATCGTTCTCACCAGAATGCATCGCACTGTATGAACTGCACTGGGGTCTTTGTGGTTGGCTGCCCAGTGAAGTGGAATCTTGCCTTCGACGTCAGGAATCCCAATGTTGGAATCATGCTTGATAAGCAGCTTCACATGCTCAGGGTTGTTGTAGTAGGCACTCCAATGCAGAGCCGTTTGCTGCAAGATTGAGAGATTCTTTAAATTACAACAGTAATACACACAAGTTTTCCCCAAGTTTTTATCATGTGACAGGCACTCCTGTGAAAGTTTTACATATTTTGTCTCATGTAGTCTTGATGACAACTTTGGGAGATAATCATTTATTAATTTGCATGTGACTGACGAAGAAACTGGGTACTAGGGAGATATGTAATCTGCTGGAGACCAGGAAGGGAGGAAGTAGCCCAAGAGAGGTTTTAGCCTGACTGTCTGACTCCTAAATCTGAACTCTTAATCATGGCAGCTGTGTAAGTAGTCAGGTATTCAATTAATAAATGACAAGACTTGAAAAAGAAGAGTCCAATAATTGATGGGTAACTACCAACAAAGTAAGTGGTGATTAAGGATACCTTAAGTATTTGATAGAATGCTTTGAATTTTAACATCTATCAAAAAGTTCTGTGCATGGGAACTCATAGATCTGGAACCTGACTTTATATCAAAGGATAAATTTTTTTAAAGATTTTATTTATTAATACAGAACTGGGGTACAGGCCAGACATGTGGAGGGTGAGAGGATTCACCAGGAACAGAGTGGAGAGCAGAACAGGAAGATCAACGAAGTACACTGCTGAGGGGAGCAGCGGGCAGGTCAGGAGAGGTCTGCTGTGCCATGTGGCCTCCTCCGGGGCAGGCGGGGATCGAACTCATGCAAAAGTAGCTTTAGCTTCTTAGTGCTATGCTTTAACCTGCTGTGCCACCAAGGAGGGCCCTCAAAGGATAAATTTAATTATACTTTCACAAGATAAACTGTTAGGTCTAATTATTGTGAAAGATAATTTTGAAAATATAGTAACATTTGTTTTATGTTAGATAAAAGTTAAAAATGAATATCTGATATCAGTTGACTTGGCTTTAAAATCCTTTCTGCTCTTCTCAACATGCCTTGGTAAGCCTGGTTTCTTTACTGAGTGGCATTACGGTAACACAAAGACACTGTTCAGATGTGTGTTATCTCTTGTGGTAGCGCTGCTAGCAATCCAATTCAGAATCGGACCATTCAACAGCAGGAACCAAGCTCATCTGTCACAGTGACAGCTTTAAATATCAACATTTAAGTGCCATTTATTCAAAGTGTATCTATAGGTATTTATTATGAATAGTCACTCTTTAAATCACCACTTTTATTTAGTAATAATTTTAGTACAAAAATAATCACAGATAGTAATTACTTGCTTATGACATTTAAAAAAAAAAAGATTTGTTTATGTATACAGAACTGGGGTATAGGCCAGAGGTGCAGGGATGGTGAGAGGATTCATCAGAAACAGAGTGAGGAGCAGAACAGGCCGACTGATGAAGTACACTGCTGAGGGGAGCAGCAGGCAGGTCAGGAGAGGTCTGCCGCACCATGTGGATCACCTCAGGAGCTGGGGATTGAACTCATGTGGAAATAGTTTTAGCTTCTTAGTGCAGTACTTTAACCTGCTGCACCACCAGGGAGGGCCCTATAATGACATTTTTTTTTTATTACAAAGTTTATTTTTACATCATTTTGCACATTTTTTTTTTCCATCTCGATTGTAATCCCCGCGGGTTTCCCATCACCAAATCACCCCTG